TTATTCACTAAAGATCTTACGAAAAATCAATCACGACAAGACTCTCGGGATGTCGTCCCTCGCCACGCCGACACGACAGTGACGATCCTCTAGCCCGGCAGGATCACGTCGGGCCCGCGCCTGCGCGCGCCGTGTTTGCAAGCCCTCCTTGCCGTTCAGCCCTATGCGAGCCGAGCGCCTCCCGCTTCCGTCGGCGCCCCTCGTGGCTTCCTCGCGCGCCGGCGGCAGGTTTGAAAAGCCTATTCTCGAGTCCGGCTGACCGGGCCGCGACTCTGGTGCCGGTGTACGACGGCCACGCTGGCCAGGCCATAGCTCCGTCGACCGGTAGGCAATGCTCCGTGGCGATCTCCCTCCTTCGCGATTCGGCAGGCTTCATCCCAGCGAACATCGGGGCTGATGCGCTCGCCCTGCTAGACGCTCCAAGCAACGTCGGCATATGGGCCCAATCGTGACCCGCCCGCCGGCCAACTCCTACGTAGAACGCCTCCCGTAAACTCCCACGGCGCGACTCAAGTCGTTACAATTTCCTCCTGGCCATCTACTCGATACCTGAAATCCTCGGAAATAATATAATGTACCGAATTCTAACGCTGCCGCCCCGCCTCGCTCCGGCGGAGCGACATCCCGGACGTTCCCCCCGGTCGAGCTATCGTCTGGACAGGGGACGTGACTATGTCACGTCACAAAGTTAGCCGAACAACTTCGACTTATGACATTTTTTTACGAATTGATTGTTAGTCGTTTGTTATTGATTGTTAGACTAATTAGAACGTTTGTCAGTTAATAGTTTTTACGTAATTACGAAAATAATTTTTAGTGTTAATTTAGCCAGTAAATATAGAATTCTTTACAATTTTCGGTTCAAACCGGGGTCAATCGATGCGGAATCGTTCGTTAGTTCTGAATATACTAATTAAAACGTTTGTTAGATCACGGTTTCGCTTAAAAAAGCAAAAAATTGTATATCGTTTAGCTGCCGGAGAGTGGGGGTGAGACATAGAATATGTGGTGGTTTCGGAACGCATATAGCAAACGTTGTGCGCAATCGGAATCGGTTGCCACAAAATTTTACAAAAGAGACCAAACGCCGGCAATTCCAGAAATTAATTAAATTCCGCGTAACTTGAAAATATATCCTGAGAATTATAATATTCGAATAATATATACATATGCTGTCTGGCGGGACCGGATGGCATAAGAAGTGAGGCCTGGAAGTTCTGCAGGGGATAGGTGAGAGAAAGGCTGAAGGAGGTGATGAAGGGGGTGTGGAGAGGTGAAGGCTGGCCGGATTCGTGGAAGGAGAATGAAATCTCCCCGCTGTATAAAAAAAGGGATAAACAATCCCCCGTTAATTACAGGGGAATTACCCTACTAAGTACGGCCTATAAGATCTATGGTGCTGGCGGAGAGATTGATGAAGAATGTGGTGAAGAAGCAGATCCTTCCGGAAACCCAAGCTGGCTTCCGGAAAGGAAGAGGTGTAATGGATAACATCTTTATCCTGAACCACCTGGCCGACAGAGAGCTGAATGGCGTCGGAAAGAAGGTGAATGCCTTCTTTATTGATTTAAAGAAAGCCTTTGACAGGGTGGACAGGAGTGTGTTATGGAGGGTGATGGACGAGAGAGGGGTAAGGAGAGGACTAACGGAGAGAGTGAAGCAAATTTACCAGAAGACCGTAACAGGGTTAGGATGGGGGACAGGGAGTCAAGCTCCTTTTGGACGACAAAGGGAGTGAGACAAGGATGTCCTCTGAGCCCGCTGCTGTTCTCCGTCTTTATATCATATCTGGAGAAGTAGTTGGCCGGGGGGTTGATAAGAAGCATGATAATTGGGCAGGGCAGGATTTGGACACTGGCCTACGCGGATGATATCGTTCTGCTGGCCAAAGAGGAAGAGGCGCTAGAGGAGATGATTAAGAGGCTGGAGAAGTACTTGAGGAAGAGGAAGCTGGAATTGAACGTGGGGAAATCTAAGATCTTGAAATTCAGAAGAGGGTGGGGTGTAGAAAGAAAGAAAGATTGGCACTGGAAAGGCCAGAGGATTCAAGGTGAAGGAGTTTGAATACCTGGGCTTCATACTACAGAGAAATGGAGGTCATACGAAGCATATTAGAGAGAGGGTAAGAAGAACAACGTTAGTGATGAAGAAGACATGGAGCTTGGGAGAAAGGAAGTTTGCAAATAATTGGGGGAGAAGGATGATGTTGTTTGACAGCTTAGTAGGTAGCGGGCCAGTTGGTATATGGGGCAGAAGTGTGGAGTTGGTTAGAGCATGGTAACATGGAAGGGGTGGAGGCACGGTATCTGAGATGGTCACTGGGCCTGGAGAGAAGCACACCAGGTTATGTGGTTCTGAAGGAAACCAAGAGGGACAAGATAAGGATAAGGACGGCCAAGCTGGCGGTGAACTTCGAAGAAAAGGAAAGACAAGGATATGGTCGGAGAAGATGGGTGGTGGAATGTATTAAGGAAAGGGAGGGAAGAGGAACATTGACAAGAGGGAGGTTGGAGAGAGAGGAATACTTAAGTAGGTGTGGAGTACAAGAGACAGATCTGGAACAATAGAGAGAGCGGGGAAGGTGTGTGGCAGAAGAGCTAAGTAGTAAAGATAAAAGGCGACAAAGGGAAAAGCAAGAGATACTAATTGAGGGGGCCAGATACAATAAACGATACGGGAGGATCAAGGTGGCTGGGCTCCCAGAATACTTGAGGAGGAAAGGGGAGAGTGGTAGTCATAAAAGGAGGGCGAGGGCTAGATGTGGGAATGAGGAGTTAGGAAACAGGTACTGGCTGCGAGGGGAGGAAAGGAATTGTAACATATGTGGCAGGGAAGAGGGTACTCTGGAACATCTGATGGAACGGTGCGCATGGAAAAGTACTAGCAGAGTAGTGTTGGACGATATAATAGGCGAGAAGGAGACAGAAGGAAATTACAGATGGCTTAAAGAGTGGGAGGATAAAATGAAAGAAAAGAGTAGGAACAGAAGGGTTGCTCAGAGTCAGATAGGACAGGAGATTAGGTTAGGTCGGAGGAGTGTGAGTGTATGTGTAAAGGGGTCCCCCGTAGGTAAGTCCAACCAAGTCCCCGCGAAGGGGTGGGAGGGTTTAGTATGTGAAGGGTCGCCTACGGCCAGGTCGGGTAGAGTAAGAAAAGCTTTGTAAAGGGTTGGGCACGTCCCTACAAAACGCCATTTCTGTAATTCTTTGGAATTGGAAATAAACCATACTACTACATATGCTGTCTGGAGAATATATATTATATAAAATATTATATTATATATATATATATTACAATATGATCACAAGACATACATCAGGTGATGAAATCTGGCATCAGGCATTACTATCTGGGTCAGTAAGTAAAGTAAATGATAATTAAAACGATAATTTATGGCTATATATTTCGTTTCTTACTTCAATTGGATCATATATTATACTGTTATTTACAACTTCAATATGGTATCTGATAGATATATTATATTTAGTAGAACAAATTAATAATAGTCCTTGCTTGCAATTCAAGATGTAATTGGTAATGTGAATACATGACCTTAATTTATTCAAAAAATGTTTTGGGAAAAAATTTAAAGGATCACAATTAAAGCAGACAACAGTTTGTGCTTTTGGTTAAAACAGAGAATACTCTGTATTCATTTCTACTATTCTCTGTTTTAACAAAGGTTATAATTTTAAAATATATAATTAAATAAAGTTGTAAATAACATATGATTTAATAGTAAGAAGCGAAATATATATCCATAAATTATTATTTCTTCACTTACAGACATAGTGATATTTTAAGTATTAATTATTATAAACAAACGGAATGAGCGACAATTTTCCTTCTGAGAATCTTTTTTACTATCCAAAATACACAAAAATTTGAAATTTTCAAGAGAATTGGAGAAGGTGCCGTTATTCTACATATTTACCTACAGTTTTATTGAATTAGATATTTGAATTAGAAGTTTTATTGAATAAGTTATTAGTTACAAAAAATTACTAATTATGTAAAAATTAATAATGTTTAAGTAGAAGTGCATTATGCATTACTTAAAAAATTAGTAATTTGTCAGAGAAAAATGTCTAGTTACTAGTAAAAATTAGTATTTAGGCGAAAATAAATTATTGGTAATTAGTAGATTATTAGGTAATTAGTATAGTAGGTAATTAGTATTAAATGTTAGTGGACCGCTCGATGTTTTCGCGCGCCGCGCCGAGGAGAGCACAAAAAATAGTCAGTATCTCGTTTAAAACGAGACAAGAGTCACTTTATTCAAAGCTGGTTACAATGTCAGAATATTCGCGTGGTAATATGGCATTCGCTATTTCGCACTTTCGTACTCGCTACGATTCGACTCTGTATTTTCGATGTCGACAAACACAAGTGTCGCGTACGATTTGTAATGGCTCACTGAGCTCCCGGCCGGAACAAGCGAAACGATCGCGGCCGGAGCTCCGAACTTTTCCGCGAGGAATTTCGAGACGTGAGAAACGCTGATTGGCTCCAAATCGTTGAGCGACCAGACTATTGGTTGCAGTATGTGCGATCACGCGATGTACACCTGTGGTCTGGGCGCGAGCGAAAACACCAAGAAAACGGGGGAAAGGCAAATAAACGCGTTTTGGAGCAAATCGAGCGTTCTCGAATATTCCCAACGCTCGCTTTTACTTTTTGAGCGTTAGATTCTCAACATGCCGCCCGCCTCGTATTCAACGGAATGCGAAACAAACGGGGGTGAACGAGGTCGCATAAGTGCGCACGCAAATGAGAGCTGAGGTCTCATGGTAAATTTATTTATATACACTATATACACTTGAAAACTTAAACTATTTTGCACAATGTTCTTAAGTCTAATGAGAGACATAATAGTCGTAGTTTAACGTTATTCTACGGGTCCCGTAGGCCCGATAGACGCAGGTAACCGGCAGGTCTGCGTTATTGGTCGCTTCAGCTCGGAATTGGCGGTGCGTAATGTAACGACGCGAACGCGACCGTCAAGTTCGGGATGGACTTGTTGAATCCCTGCAAGTTTCCACTTCGAAGGAGGAAGAAGGTTGTTTTTTTAGTAAAACTAACTCGTCAACCTTGAGATTATCGTGAGATTCGGTCCATTTGACGCGCTGTTGCAATGAATGTAAGTAGTCCGACGACCAAGAACGCCAGATCTGTTCGACCATGAGTTGCACGTGTTGCCATCGCGACAATCGATTCGCATTGATTTCGAGTAATGATTCCTCCGGTACGCTGGTGAGCGGTCGACCGATAAGGAAATGACCAGGCGTCAACGCGGTAAAGTCGGACGGATCGTCGCTGAGTGGCAAAATCGGTCGAGAGTTGAGGCACGCCTCTATCTTACATAAAATAGTCACGAATTCTGAGCAAGATAGAGTACGAGCACCGATCACCCGCTTGAGATGGTGCTTAAAACTTTTAACGCCAGCCTCCCAAAGCCCGCCGAAATGTGGTGCAGCCGGGGGCACAAAATGCCACTTCACACCGTCATTCGCGAGGATTTCTTTGAGGGAAGGGTTGTTCATAAGCAAGCAAAAGCTGCATTGTAGCTCACGATCCGCAAAGTTCGTGCCATTGGTCTCGAAAGTTCGTGCCATTATCGCTGTACATGTCCGATGGCAGTCCGCGTCGACTGACAAACCGATGAAATGCGGCAAGGAATCCCTCGAAGGAGTAATCCTCGACACACTCGAGGTGGATCGCCTTAGTGGCGAGACAAACGAAGACCGCTACGTAATGTTTGCTCCCCTTTTGACCACGGCCGACCACGGGGGTAATAATCATCGGTCCGGCGTAATCTATGCCCGTGTGAGAGAAAGGAGGAGAGGGATTGACTCGGGGATTCGGGAGATCACCCATTAATTGCGTCGGCGTTTTCGCGGAGTATTGACGGCATGTAACACATTTATGGATGTGAGATTTGATCATGCTTCGCGCCAAAATTATCCAATAAGTTTGACGGAGACATCTAAGCGTGAGTTGTGTCCCTCCATGGAGGGAGCGTCGGTGAGCTTGATCGATCAAAAGTTCAGAAATATGATGTCGCGGGAGTATAACTGGGTGTCGCTCATTGTAACTCAGCGCTGAGTTTTCGAGCCGCCCGCCCAGCCGGATTAATAGATCTTTCCCGACAAATGAGTGGAGAGAGCGTAAGGGACTTGTTCGCTTGAGCGGCATGAGCTTTTAAGGCTTTCAAGTCATCAGGAAAACCTGTCGCTTGTACCGATCGAAGCCAAAAGACAGAAGCTTCGTGGATCTCTTCTGCGGTCAAAGGCGACTTGACGATCGCCGAAGAGGCGACTTTATTTTTTAAGTTTTGAACGAAACGGCGAATGTATGCGCTAATACGAAGAAGTCGGATCCAGCTCGAGCAAGAGGTGGGCAGATTCCACTCAGGAGTTGGATCGACGAGATGAACGGTAGCTTTGCGCGCTTCGGAAGATACCGTTTGCAAAATTTCCCTTCCGATAGGAGTCGGGAGAATCGGCCACGAAGCCGGGGATTTTCTAAGCCACGGGGGGCCGAACCACCATAATTCATGGTGGACGAGATCGATAGCAGTAGAGCCGCGAGAAGCGCAGTCGGCAGGATTGTCGTGAGAACGGACGTGCTGCCAACGTACTGACGGAAGGCGCGTCTGCCTCTCGGAGACGCGGTTCGCGACGTAGGAATTCCATCGAGATGGATGTTGCTGAATCCAAGCCAATGCGATTTGGGAATCAGTCCATCCGAATAATAAAGCTCGTGGAAAGCGCAGGGAATTTTTTACCCAATCTAACAACCGAGTTAATAGAACGACGGCGTTAAGTTTTAATCGTGGAACGCTGACGGTTTTTAACGGCGCGACCTTCGTTTTGGCCGCGAGGAAGGAACCTGAATATTTGTGGTAGAATGCACGATTCTGAGGTAAACGACCGGTAAGCTCGAATGGACGCGTCCGCGAATCCGTGTAATTCCACTTCGAGTTTATCGTGACGCATCCCTGTCCATCGGGGGATGCGTATTTCACTAATATGAGGCAAATCCGTAAAATAATTAATCCAATGAGGTGAAAGATCGTCGGGGATAGGAGAGTCCCAATCAATTTTACGGAGCCAGAGCTCTTGCATTAACATCTTGGCCGCGATGACGATCGGTGACGCCCATCCGAAGGAGTCATATAACTTTGCAATGAATGATAAAACGGAGCGTTTAGTATGAACAGTTACGGCGTAAGGCGAGATGACAAAAGTAAACGAGTCATCATGCGGGGACCAAGACAGGCCGAGGACCTTGAGCGTGTCATCGCGATTGATCGGATAGTCCGAGGATTCACGTTGGTCCTCCGGGATATCCGTCAATAGTTCGGCTGAATTCGCGGCCCATTTTCGGAGGGGAAAACATCCGCGATTCATTATGCCGACGAGTTGCTTGCGTTTTTCGAACAGCGACGGAAGGTCGTCTGCTCCGAAAAGAACGTCATCGACGTAGGTCGATTCTTCAATTATAAAAACCGCGTCGGGAAAATCTTTACATTCGTCACGAGCTAATTGAAGAAGGCAGCGCTGCGCGAGAAATGGCGATGGCTTTTGACCGTAAGTCACGGTGAGCAAGCGATAAGGTCGAATCAACAGACTTTCGGGGGGGGGCGCCAAAAAATTCGTTGGAAATCCGCGTCGTCCCAATGCATGCGTATCTGACGGAACATCTTCGCGATGTCCGCCATGTATACGTAACGGGATAGTCGTTAGCGTAAAATTATTGCAGCGATGTCTTGTTGGAGCTTCGGTCCCGCCATTAGAAAATCATTGAGAGTGGTTTTATCGTCCGATTTGCTCGACGCGTTAAACACGACGCGTAACTTAGTAGTCGTACTCGATTCGCGTAAAACGAAATGATGCGGAATGTACACCGAGGGATATCGAGAAAGCTCGTCGTAGTGTACCTCTTCCATGTGCCCCATGGATTCGTACTCCTTTAGGAAATCGTGATACTGAGCGGCAATCTCGGGTTTCTGCGAGAGTCGGCGCTCCATTTTGGAATACAAGAAAGAAGCCTTTCGAAAAGTGTCGCCTATGTGAGGAGGGCCATTCTTGAAAGGCAAACGAACAATGTAACGTTCTTGAGAATCGCGAGAATGCGTACTAGCGAAATGATTTTTGCAACGTTCTTCCTCTTTGGTGAGAGGATTTTGAGAGGGGATACTTTCGTCCTCCCAAAAACTTTGAATCAAGGAATCCTCGCAAGATACGCAATTCAAAACGGGAGCGGACTCTCCGGCTGGGCACGCGGTGCTGGCAGGACCGGAGACGATCCACCCGAAAACAGTAAGCTGGCCCGTCGGGGTGCCGACCGGGCCTTGACGGAGGCCGTCGAGCAGCAACGACCCGTATAAATCCGCGCCGATTAGTACAACATGAATCGGGCGATTACAAGAGGGATCGGGATCTGCTAACAATAAATCGCGTAGATGCGGCCACATTGCGGCTGGCTTTGTTTGAGAGGCTATGTACGAAGTGATTCGTTGGTATACGTAGCCCGAAAATGGGAATATTGGTCCCTGTTTGTCGCAGGGCGCAAGCGTGAGATTGACCTGAGATCACGCGACTCCATTAAATTTCTCTCCGAAGCAATGTATTTTTAACGCGGCACGATGACGCCTGGTTCGCATAGTCTGACAAAGAGATTCGGATATGAAACTGTATGTCGAGCCCTGATCTAGCAGTGCACGTACTTTAAATGTGCGGCCCTCGATAGTACTTAGACTAACATACGCAGTGGCGAGAAGTACATGAGGCGGCTGCGTTACATCTCGAATAGCACGGTTTGAACGGACGCGGAGGGCGCGGCCGGAGGCTCGGGAACAGCGGCGACCGACACAGCTGACGGCGTGGAGGACGGCGAGTTAATCGCGAAAAGCTCACATTTGGTACCACTTGCTGTACCCTCGCTGTGAAGCAGCGAATGGTGGGCTTGACGGCATCGATTGCAACGTCCCTTACTCGGACAATTCTTTAAATAATGCTCGGTCCTCAAACAGTTAAAGCAACATTTATGCTGTCGCCCGACGAGTCGACGCTGTTCAATCGGCAAACTCAGTTTATCACACTTTGTCAGACTATGGTTTCCGGAACAACGGACGCACTTGACGGGCGACACATTATTAATCGACGTACGAGCTTTATTTCCGCGCGCATTATTCGACGCGGAGTCGAATTGCGACGGATAATCCGTGAGACCGCGAATGCGTAGAGTCATGAAGTCATGAATCTCCTTATACGTGGGGTATGCATCCGTATCGCCTCGTTTCAGATTCCATTCATTGCGTGTTCGCGGACTAAACTTTTGCGATATGATGTAAACTAAGAGATCGTCCCACGTATCGACAGGACGCTCGAGATTCGTTAAAGCGGCGAGAGCCGCGGACACGCTATCGCAAAGTTTTTTTAATTCGGTAACATTCTCGGTTTTCATTTTCGGTAAGTCGGCGAAAGAATGGATGTTCGCGTGAATAATCGCGTTACGGTTGTCGTACTCGTCGAGAAGAAGTTGCCACGCTGCCTCGTAGTTCGCGTCAGAGATGTGAATATTATTAATTAACACGGCAGCCTCGCCGGAGAGGCTCGCCTTCAAGTAATGTAACTTTTGAGTCTTCGTGAGGGATTTATTCTTGTCGACAAGGGACTCAAAAATTTCCCGAAAATTTTCCCATTCCGGAAAAACACTCGAAAAGTTCGGAAGCGAAATACGAGGCAGATGCAATGACAGGCCGGAGTGCGCGTCGCGATAAGATGACTCGTTACCTCTGTACGGCGCGCTTGGGGCGTCGTTACTTAATTTACCGATAACCTCGTGGAGATGGTCCGCCGCGTCGAAGTAGGTTTCCTCGGCGGCAAGAAGGTCGTCCTGTTGGAAGTAGGGTGTCGACTTCTTCTCCTCCGGTGTAGCCGTCTGCAGCAGCTGGACGTGGAGGGCTCGAACATTCTCCCAGAGGCCTTCCAAATTTGTCAGTCTCCCCTTCGTTTTAGGGAGAGTGACCTGAGCTTTGGGAAGCTTTTTAAAGTTTATCAGCGACCGCTTAAGTGTAGCAATCGCATCGCCTTGGGCGATTATCAAATTTTTGAGATCCAGAGACATGCTAGCGAGATGTTTGGATCTTGTAGGCAACGATCTGACACCTGTGTGTCAATCGGATAGAAGAGCGAAGGCGCTCCTAACGACTCCACGGCGAAAAGCAGGGCGATACTCGCGGGAGTCAGGGACGTATGGCACGTCGCAAAGCAGGGCGCCCGTCGGGCGGCGGTGAGCGTATCTCAGCACGATACGTTTGCTGGAGGTCACGCAGGAGCCTCCGGAGCTGGTTGAAGCCGGGTAGCACCGGGTTTTTTCTTCACAGAGGGCACCAATCTTTAAGCGAGCGGGTGCAGAGCACTCATGTGGTCGAACAAGAAGAGAGAAGACGCTCTCATGCGCTTCCGCGGCGAGCAGCAGGGCGATACTCGCGGGAAGCAAGGACGTACAGCACGTCGCAAAGCAGGGCGCCGGTCGGGCGGCGGATGCGTATCGCGATGATACGGTTGCTGGAGGTCTCGCAGGAGCCTCCGAAGCACTTCACAATTTCACAGGGCACCAATATTTAGGAGAGCGGGTGCAGAGCGCTCAATGTACTGAGTGAGCCACGGAGTCGAGAACGCGTATCGCGGAGAACCCGATGAACCGGGAATATCTGTCCAATCACATTCGATGTGCGACGGTTCGAACGGCGAACTCCGTTTGCGAGCGAGTCGAGCGGGCGCGACGGTCTGTCTGTCTCGGAGCAGCACAACGCGATCACTATTGAGACGGTCGAACTGTCTATGCCGGTCTTTTATTTATCACTATCCGGCTCGAAGGACCATTAAATGTTAGTGGACCGCTCGATGTTTTCGCGCGCCGCGCCGAGGAGAGCACAAAAAATAGTCAGTATCTCGTTTAAAACGAGACAAGAGTCACTTTATTCAAAGCTGGTTACAATGTCAGAATATTCGCGTGGTAATATCGCACGCGCTATTTTGCACTTTCGTACTCGCTACGATTCGACTCCGTATTCTCGATGTCGACAAACACAAGTGTCGCGTACGATTTGTGATGGCTCACTGAGCTCCCGGCCGGAGCAAGCGAAACGATCGCGGCCGGAGCTCCGAACTTTTCCGCGAGGAATTTCGAGACGTGAGAAACGCTGATTGGCTCCAAATCGTCGAGCGACCAGACTATTGGTCGCAGTACGTGCGATCACGCAATGTACACGTGTGGTCCGGGCGCGAGCGAAAACACCAAAAAAACGGGAGGAAGGCAAATAAACACGTTTTGGAGCAAATCGAGCGTTCTCGAATATTCCCAACGCTTGCTTTCACTTTTCGAGCGTTAGATTCTTAACAGTAGAAATAAATTGTTTGTTATTAAAATAATTGGTAAAACTTCGGATTAACCCATTAGCTGTGTAAGAGAATTTTACTATTTAGGCCAAAAGTGTGTTAAAAAAAAGTTTATCGGATTATTATGAAACTTGATACCCTTATGTTTTTTGAGTATCTGAATTCGAATATGATGTCAGATTTTCAAAATTCAAAATGACGGATCCAATATGGCGGATCAAAATTACAAAAAATGGTCTGATTTTCATGAAATTTGGTACCCTTACGTTTTTTATAATTTTAAAGCGCCATATTGCATTTGCCATTTTTTAATTTTGATGTCATTCGGATTCAGAGACCCAAAAAACATAAGGGTACCAAATTTCATGAAATTCAGAACATTTTTTGTAATTTTAATCCGCCATAGTAGATCCGCCATTTTGAATTTTGAAAATCTGACATTATATTTGGATTCAGAGACCCAAAAAACATAAGGCTACACAATTTTACGTAAATCTACCAACTTTTTTATTTTTGATCCGTCATATTAAATCCGCCATTTTGAATTTTGAAAATCTGACTTTATATTCGGATTCAGAGACCCAAAAAACATAAAAGTACCAAATTTCATAAAAATCAGACTTTTTTTGTAATTTTGATCCGCCATATTGGATCCGCCATTTTGAATTTTGTACATCTGACTTCGGATTCGTAATCAGCGACCCCAGAAACTTCCGAGTAACAAGTTTCAAGCAAATTCAAAAAGTTTTACTTTGTTCTTTCTATGTTGCGGTTATAGCCGTCATACACACTCTTGGCCACTTTTGTTTTTGCGGCTATAGCCGTCATACACAGTCAACGGGTTAAGGGCGACCTCACCGATTTTAATGACCTTGATATATGTTGTCAAGGTCATAACCCCGAGTGACCTTCAGAAGGTTTTAGCCGTCGCTCGTTGTTAAAAAGTTATTAACAAAAAAAAGTTGGGAAAATATAGCAGCTATTTTGAGTATTGGAAGGCATAAATGACTAATATATATGTCGAAATAGTTCACGCATACACTTTCCACGCGAAACGAGGTGCTACATGGGTTCGTGGCGCGCTTTACAAGTTCGTTAACGACGCGTGGTTTACCAGGACGAAGAATCCTACTTAGTCACTAAAAAAAATTATTATATTATTTGGACAATCAAGATTCAGTTCTGACCGATTACGGCGTTTTTTTTTTGCCTGATAAATGTGAAGTATAGTGTCAATTAATTAACATTTCTAATTTGTCAACAAGTAACACACGATGAATGAGTCATTTTAACTTAAAATTTAAAGTGGACTTTTTGAGACATGTAAACAATGTTATAATTACGTTTTATTTTGTACTGTGTATGGCATACTGACAAACTTAAGTGCGGATGACTATTTTGTTGTTAAAATTTGTTTAGTACAAGCTTACGCATAAGCCTGGTTTCGTGAATTTAAGTAAGAAGCGACACAACCCTCGTACTTTAGAAGAGAGAATATGTATTTTTAAAAACGTAGAAATGTTTGCAGTAATTGCATACGTTAAATCACAATCAATTTGCTCAAGTAAAGAATTGTTCACATATGAAAAACACAATAAATCGTAATAGTAATAATAGTTCTTTCATTAAAAAGAATTATCTTCTTTGAAATAAGTAATCTGGTGATTCACAAGAAATTCCTTTTCCTTGATAACATCGCTAATGTTGAGTAATTACCTCAAATTCAATTTAATGTCGAGAACTTAAGTATTCCATTAGTGAAGAAACATGTTAATCTTTCCAAGGAAAGGGCCATATTATCAATTGTCAATAGATCAATCAATTTAAACACACAAATAATTTTAGAGAAATAATATCATTTGGTAATAAATGCGAACCATGGAATAATGAAAAACTTATGTACATTTAAGACGAAATATAAGTATCAATCGTGAAGTAAATATGGTATTAAATATTCATCTTGACATTTTTATAGTAATTTGTTAAGAGATAAATGTGAAGAATAATTTACCATCCTTTTGCTTTATAAGATAGTTATCCTTGCAGTAAATTTAGATTGCTCAATATG